GTGTATTCAGACCATACTTCTGGACATTTCCATCGTGCGCCATAGGTTTGTTTACTTCGTACAGATATCGAATGTTGCAAATTGAAGCTGCATTTTTGAATCGGAATGATCAGAACATGAATGTTTGCAGAAATACCTTTTTAATGTAACTTCTGAAACTTATCTTGTGTTGTGCCGCTGGTCAAGCTCTATGTGCTACTGACCGTCATATGCTTTCACTCTCGTGGAGATCGATTCTGGAAATAGATGACACTATGGCTGTCCTATTTCAGTAGACTTTTTATACTGGATAGAGGATATTTGCTAAGCTTTCGTTCGTTATCTATTCTAAGACCAAGTCTAGAGTTGCCAGAAAGCACGAAACAGCTGTCCATCGTTGGCCGTCTGTGGCCGAACAGCCGAAAAAGCTGTATTACTAGTTTATGATACCACAGATATAGAAGTAAAAGTTTACTGAGGATTCGGCCACATCGGTTGCCTATTTAAAGTACAAACTGACAATAACAGTGTAGGTTATTTATCTGGAAGTCAGATTAAATTGCCGTATGTGTAGTGGAGAGTAAGTTCTTAAAAACTGAGTTATCTTTGAAGCTTATATATAGTTCTGTATTCCAAAGTAGATCATCTCTTTGTTCAGTAGGAAGTTGGTAGTCTGCTTTACAGTTTTCGTACGGTGAGCTGTGAGGGTGAGCCCCTCCGTTGGTCGTATCGATTTTAGGGGGCAGCTGCCTTGGAGCAAGGGGAACTTTCTGATGCCGAATTTAGCAGGACAGGTTTGCAAAAGGGGATGTGCTATTCATTATGGGGGTGAAATCTCCTCTTCGAGTGCCTCTAAATTTTCAAGGTTCTTTGTTATGCTGATGGAATCGGTTTACTCCTCATGCCATAAGCCAGGGAAGTATTATAATCTACAAATTTTCGAGCTTACGGATATATTTTATCATTATGTAAGTCCATGACAGTCGTTTTCGTAGGTCTGTTTGTCGTACGGAGCTGTTCTTTGAACTACATATTCGTAATCTTATTAACCGCTGCAACCGATTTACCTTGCTACTTACGGTGTAGCCTTATGGTCAAAATTCTTATGTATTTTCTGTATTGATGGCAGAATCGTTTGAAGCACTCTTTGGGCTCTTTCAGTTCCAAACTGTTTTGATTGAGCGTATCATTTGATTTGTCACTTAATTCTATTATCACAGCTCTATGATCGGCATTAGAAACATTGCATTGTCAACGGTGACCCCTAGATCTTCCGATAAACAGGCAGTTCTGCTTTTAGATCACGTGTAGAGATATTTAAGACTCATTGACAAAAATAGTAATTTATCTTTTGCGGCATATATTATTCACATTTCACATGCTATCCAACGCAAGCATTGAAATGCGCAAATAACCCCAGTTCAGACACGGTTTGCGTAGGTTTAAAGAAAATTACCCGTGAAATTCAAAGGCGTTTACCAACACCGCACGTGGAGTTTGAATGTCAAATCTATTATTGATGTATACGAAAATCCATAAGTGAAAGAAAAAACTTGGCTGGTCATTATCGATTTAGAGTTTCACAATTTACTTTCGTATCAACTTTATTATATTTACACACAACAGGATGATCATGACGTCCTCTATTTATGGTATTTTTGTTACCCATCAGCCTCAAAAGGAGGGTTATGTTTTTTGAGCGTATGTATACACGGTGTCCCAATATTCCGTGGAAGTAGCATTTATTTTTAGACTCAAAATAAGTCGATTGGACATTCTGTACCTCAAAGGTACTTTGTTTGTCCGTTAGAGGGCATATTTTTTTAAACGCAATTTTTCATATTCTCTTGGATCGATAGTCATATTTGAATGAAATTTGGAACAAATGTGTTTTGCTGGACGTCCTAATATTTGACTTTTAAAAAAAAAAGTGTTCGAGACGGGTGGAAACTAACCCCACATAAATTATAGCAGCATTTTTTCGCAATTCATCCAACGACTCTTTTTTTTTTATTTGAAAGCTGCTTCCTTTTATTTTCTTCAGTTTGCGACTCTAAAAAAGCAGAAACATATGTGTTCCAAATTTGATTCAAATCGGGCTATTCGATCTTAAAATATCTTAAAAAGGAAACGTTGAGGTAGATCATGTCCAATCAACTTATTTTGAATCTAAAGTACGTAGCACTTGTATGTTCACGGATTATTGGGACACCCTGTATACGTAAGTCGGCAAGAATAATTCCATTTCACGGGCTCCAGTCCAAACAGCTTCACGGGTCTTGACATCTGAGGTATTGTTAGATTCTTCTTGGCAGAGCGAGTGACAGTGGATGTTTGCGTAATTTTCAAGACCTACCACCCCGCTGTAGATCTTGGTCCTTTCAATTTCTCCATAAATTCTCATGATACGCCCCCTTGTTTCTCCCTCACTGGTGACTAGATCGATGGTCAAAACAGTTGTTCGACATCGTTATCTCGTTCATTTATCACCGGTTTAGCCGATGAATGCACGTGTATTGCGATACGAAATGACTGCACCGATTTTCAATTTGAAAGAGGGACCAATCATTTTTTGACGGCTCGCGGTGATCGCCTGACAGCGATCGGTTTGTTTTTCTGCATGGACGGTTTTATGCCAGTCAGAATGAAGCTACCAGAGTAATTCGATCGGGCAAATCAAAATGATTTAACAGGCTTTGAAGTTTTGGGAAGTAAATCCGAATACGTAAAAAATAACTGTTATTGGACCGCTTGTTTTGCATTGCAGTCGATAATCGGTGTTAAATGAGGACGAACTGATTTGCTATGTCTCACACATTACCACCATGTGCGTAGCTTAACTTCCCTAAGGAAAACTGCACAAAAACGCAAGACTATCCGTGACGACGATGCTACTCGCTCTTGCACATACACAAGAAGAAGTTGATACAGGACCATTTGAAAATGCTCCTATAAACTTAATATAGACTGTCGAAATTTTAGTTGTTTCTTTGGACATTAATATGTCGTATATAGATCGACAAAGGTAAACAAAAATTGCACGCGCATGTTGCCATACTGACAGTGACAAGCATAAATGTGGAAGACTCATACGTTGATCAGAGAATGTTCAACGCGGTGAGACAAAACTAAGAAACGCCTCTCTTTGAGTTTACACACTTGAACGTCTGCGCATAAAGGCTGATTGCATAAATAGGTATGTGACAGGGAGATGGATGAATGAAAGTAATCCCTGTAGTTTTGCTGTGTCCCGCCGAAAACCGTGAAAAGATCTATACAGTCAAGTGAATTATTCTGTAAGTACATTATGAGCTAATTCACGCTACGGATTTTTGTCAATGTTTAAAAAACAAAAATACAGCAAACTGTACATAAATTATAGACTGAATTTGTACGTGAAGAGAAATACTTATTTTTTACCCATAACTGGAGAACCTTTGCAGAAACTATTAGTTAAACTCAAGTGCGTATCCATACAGATCTGCAAGGTTGACAAAGTCCGATAATTTTTACGCCGTTTGTCATTGGCCGGAATATCTAGATTTTATCCGATTCGTGCTCACGCCATTTCGGAAACTAATTGCTGACCGTTGATCGATTCGAAAAATCTCGAACGATTTCAAAATTGAAAAAGGAGTTAATTCTAGCCCGCGAGGTTAACTAAAGTGTCTGAAATGTGGAGTGAAATCACGGAGCGAAACGAATTGCCTACTAGAATGGTATAACGGATATTGTGTATACAACGCATATGAGGACAGTGCTAAAAATTTCCCCAAGATATTTTGAAGTGATTTTACACACTTCTTTGCGAGGAAATTAAAGACCTAATGCACATGGCTTGATACATGGAAGTGACAAAAGAGTTGCCTAATATATCATTTTCAAGAACAAGGATGCTTGATTCTGAGCCTTCCTTATCTATTCATAGTTCCTTACTTCACTACATTTTTGTCGGCTCTGCATTTCCCACGCAAGTCAGTCAAACTGGCCCATACAGTTAGTCCATAGACTATATTTCCCTGCATTATCAATAGTTATCGTTCACCTAGCAGAGTTGCCCCATCCAATATCTTCAGACGCGGCAGCGCCCACCGAAGCACCGCTGCAGTATGAGCAGAAGAATCAAGCAGTTCGGTACGCCGGACGCTGAGCCCAGATAGCAGAAGGAGACGAAAATCGACATTCCTATATCATTCTGGTTTAAACGACAAATGTATGGGGAAACCTATGTGTGAAATAATGGCCGATAGGTGCGTAGAATCATCGGGGCTGGGGGCGTATAAATACACTAACATCAAAAAGTTGAGAGGTGATCAGGATACCCTGAAACGTAAAAAAACAAAGATTAAGCGATTTTTACTTTTTCGTTTTTGGCCTTCTTGTCCGCCGCCATTGGACCGATTTTCAAAAACTATAAAGCTTTTTCGTCATTGGCATTGGCAATCTTTTGTACAAATTCTATCGAAATCCGAGCAGTACTTTCTAAGTAGGCGGGTCAAGGATTACCGGACAGACAGACTGACGGAATGAGTGACATGGTTTTTCGTGATCTACATGTCGTATAACAACAAAAAACATAATATCTCATTTTCGATTTTTTTCGCGATTACAATACTTCCTCGTCCGATGGCATGGGAAGTAACAAATTCCGCGTCAAGCGTCAAACTAATAGTTGAGAACTAGAGATAACAAAAAAGCGTCAAATCGAAAAAATCCATCCGCGTGGACAAATAGAAATCCATAAGAGCTCACTATATTCATCAACAATTACAACATGGACAACCTTACGAGGGTTATAAGGAAATTGTTCATAATTGATAAGGTTTCTAATTAATGAAGTACCTTCAACAATTTATGTTATCTTCCTCAGTATAGGATATTAACAAAACAGTTGCCGAAAAAAAGTATTTGATAAATTTTTTAAAGTGTGGGTTGTACAAAATAGTACAAAAATACTTTTTTGTGGTACTGTATGCTTAATGTTCATTTCGATACGTTGATGAGGGATGAATTTTTTTCAGTGTCTTAAGATAGTGGTCGTCAGCTTCGCCACTCGGTAAGTTTGATACACATTCAGACATACACACACAGATCCTTGTATTATTACGCTGGTTTACGCAACACCAATGCCTTTGTATATCTAAGCAATCTAAAATGGAACCCAAATAGCGATGTGCCGGTTTGACATAAAATAGCGGAATGCATTGCTCGAAATTCGATTCACGGATTATATGACTGCTGTTTGACTGGAAGAAATAGCTGGTCGGCGTTCGAAGCCTGTTGTATGTATTATGTACATCAGAGCAATGACAACTTGTTAATAGAGCACATCCACAAAGACATGAGGTCATACGCCTGACTGCTTATCCACCAAAGAATTTCTTAGCTGTCCTAGTGATAAAGTAGCAAAATGTTACCTGTCTAAGTCCAGACATAAGCTTTAGTTTGCCACTGGCATTGCAACTGGGTACTATCAGCTATGCTGTATAATATGAAACTAAGTGACACATTGGCCATGTTTCCATCGAAGAAAGAAGGGCTTATATGGCGTATAGCCACACAGAGCACACGAAGTAAACGGGCACATTTACGAACAGATTTATGACACTCTATGGCTATATAAGCGCCAGGCCTACGTTATAAACATGGTCATTCTCGTGTAGAGATTGTGAATATAAGGACAAATAAACATGTTGCGTATTTCGAAACATCTCCTATCTTGGATAGAGGATAGTTGCTATGCTTTCATACGTTGTCCCAGAGACCAAGCCTAGACCATACTGATGAGTTGCCAAAAAGCACGGAACAGATAATCATGGTCGGCTGCCTGTGATGAAACGGACGAATGCAGCATGCTTATTTATTCAATTGCGACTAGAGACCACCTGTACTATACCGCTAGAGTCGACAGCCTCTAACAGTCACAGTGGTGGCTAGGCTACCAACGCAAACTTACATCTTTAGAGTTCCGAACGGTAGCTGCTATGCACTCTCACAGCGGGTTTTGGTAATAGATGGCGCTTTGCGATCTTATTTCCATAGAGACAGTTAACGGCTGCACAGCTCAGCTGTTCTATCCATACCAGAATCCATTCTGGGAAAACGTATTGCTAATTCAAGAAAAACTTCTCGTGGTCATTGTTCAAAAGTCGTAACCTGTAATTCTGACAGTACTAGAAGAAATATATTATGATGGTGAGCGATCAGCACCTAGGAAAATGATTATTACAGATGATTAGTCAGCGCCCTAGCGGAGTAGTAGACACTATGGTGCAGTAATCAGCCGCTGTGTCGCGGGTTCGAATCCCGTCCTAAGAGAATTTACACACCGGGCGCATCTCTCAGAATATGTGCATGACACATACAAACGTGTTTCCTTGATAGAGTCAGTGTGACGTTCCTGACTTTCCCCTGTATCTCCCCATAGCCCCGCGGTACCCACGGGTATTTAGGCCTTAGACCTTGGTGATTCAAGTACAAAAAAAAGTTATGTCCCGGTTGAAGCAACCAGAACGGCCTGTTCTCGGTTTATGAGTTAGTTGGTGATTCCACCTAGGAGGCTTAGAATGTTTTATCAATTCGGAGAAGAGCCCAAGAATGAAATTCTGTTCGCAGCGACTAGATTACACACTTTCTTGATAAATCAATCATAGTTATAGAATAATAAGTGTAAATGCGGGAAACCTGAAGCTGGCATCTGTCAAATGTCAAATCTAGTCATAACCTGTTTTAATACCCGCATAGCGGGCGGGGCGTTGGAGAAGTGGCCAATGACAACAAAAACAACACACACTCATTTGTGTAGATAGAAAAAGAAAAACCTTCCTTCTGGTTATTGCATTTTTTTAACCGGTAACCGGTTAACCGTATATTATGAAATAGCCGGTTAAACCCGGTTAATTAATGTAGAAAATCCGGTTATTCAATTAACTGATTATTTTTGCTCATCCCTACTGCGATTTACTTTTTTCCGAATACCTCTTCCAATATTGATTGTAGTTGTACGTCACTGGTAAACGCCTATATCTCGCTCTCACACGCCCTATTCATCAGATGAGCTTGCGGGCGATTTGAATGCGTCAGCGGCAGGGAAGTCGTATTGTTCTGAGAGAGGATATTAACATACGCCCATTGGATTATGATGTACACACATACGGTACCGCCATGTTGGATTTGCTACACAGCATGTCACCTAATAGGTGGATGACCTCGATTAGAGAACAGATTAGGCTTGTCAAGTCTTTGGTTTCTAAGAAAAAATTATTCATTCTAATCCAGAGCCGTTCTGTGGCATGAGCAAAGTATGAAAAGTCCCTAGAATGGTGGAACAACCAGTTGAAAGCAAGGGCAGGCCAAAATAGTTCATCAAAGAACGAAAGTCCATACCTACAGATGACCTTGAGTTTAACAAAAGAGGCCCGTTGTGCAGATAACTTGAACAAACCTTGGTACACCTCTTATTTCACTTCGTCTGAAGGCCCGTCACAGCAAGGCATCTGGAAATCTAAAAGAAGATTACGCTAGTTAAGTTGTTGACCTCGATTAAAGAATAGATCAGGCTTGTCAAGAAAAAACTAACAGTCTGTAGTTTCTAAGAAAGAATCATTGATTCTAATCCAGAGCCTTTCTGTGACATGAGCAAAATATGGGAAGTCCCTAGAATGGTGGAACGATTAGTTGAAGTAAAGCCAGGCAAAATAGTTCGTCAAAGCACGAAAGTCCACACTTACAGATGATCTTCTTAGATTTAATAGAAAAAGCATAACGGCTATGGTAGGTCTCCTAACAGTAAACTGTGGTTCAGATCGATGAATGGATACTCTTGGGATTAGCAGAAGAGGCTACATGCCTGTTGTGCAGAGAACACGAACAAACCCCTGGTACTCCTCTTATTATACCATTTCTAAAGTAACATTCTATAATATATAAAGCTAGGCTATTTGTCCATAGTTGATGCTGTTCGGAGGAGGGCTGTCCGCCTGATCGATGACTCTTCTCTAGCGGAGAGTCTCCGGTCCCTTTCGCACCGAGATGGGCCTTCGGAGATCTAGCTCCCTTCTGTCGATATGCCAAGGGATTTGTTCCTCAAAGCTCTCCTCGATGATGCCACCGCGCGATGTTCCTGTTAGATACACACGGTAGTTTTCTGCTTCTCATCCTAACCGTGCACATCCAGAACTGGCCGATACGACCGCTCTTTTGTCCCAAGGGAATCGTGATTGTGCAAAAATCTACCTGTTCAAAAATAGGATTAACAAAGTTTCTTAAAGCTTCTCATAGCCGCGTTACCCTGGTATTTAGGCTTTTGTGGTATAAAAAAATAATTAACAAATATGTTGATTGCTTATCACACCTCGCTGGACGTCAAAACGCGAAACGTGAAAAGTACGTATAATTTTTATATCAAATGTCACATTTTCCCGTTTACTTTTGACAGTTTAACCTCTAACCACACTATCGCCACCTTGCGGCAGCAAAATTAAACGTTGCGCGAAATAGATACTTCTTCAAGTTTGAACGTTTGGCTGGCTTTGGACTGAGAGTATTGGACTTGGTAAGACAGTCTGCTTGCGTCAATGTATATTTTTATTTTAAATATGGTATTACTCGCGACTTTACTACGAAAAGTAAGGCGAAACTGCATAAAATCAACTTGTTTTAGATTCAGTTAAAATCGGTATTTGAGTAGAAAGCCATATATTTCTCGTTACATGATAAGAACAGTAGGCGAACATAGATAAAAGCAATGGAGTGAAAAAACGGAGAGCAACGTCCCAGTCAGTTTCAATTAAGCCAATATTGAAGAGAAATGGCGATAGAGCGACGAGATAGTCCGGTTAAAAGGGTTGTTTTAAACAAAAAAGGGCATGGATGGAGGCTATAATGTTTCAAAAGGGCATTCCAGAATTAAATACAAAATGTTGTTTTTACATTATTGAATCATAAGGTACACATGATAGGGTTATGTAGCGAATAACATAAATATCAGGTAAGTATTTTGTAAAAATATCTAATGATCCTTTTGCGTACATGTGTCGTCATTAGATTTCCTCCTTTTTAATTGCGAAGTTCATGACGTAAATACTAGGGACCGTTCTATGATTAGGATACCTCCGCACTCTACGACACTTTTCAAACCTTGCTTCTTATACAACGCTGTCTTATTCTACAATGCTATATCTACTGAATACAGGAAAATGTCACTTGTCATTTTTCGTAGACAAATCAAAATATATATGTCAGCTCTGGCTTAATATAAATAGTAACGAATGATTTTGTTTAGCGATTAGTTATTTTTTAATTACTAGTTTATGCTCCTTTAGTGGGTTTATTTTAAATATTGCACAAAACATCGTGCTTTTTTAACATACAGGAAAAGGTTGTTAAGTGTAAGAGTAGCCCATACCATGGGAATCCTCCGCTAAGTATTTCGGTGTCATTCTGGACAAAGGGATGACTTGGCGGAACCATATAGAAGCACTAAAAACTAAATTCCAAATTACGTTTCGACCGCTTTACCCATCATTATGTAAACGTTCAAAATTAAGTTTAATTAACAAGATTCGACTCTACGTATATAAGGTGGTCATAAGACCAGCAATGACGTACGCATGTGCGGCTTGGTGTTTTATTGCTAAAACACTCATGCGAAATCTGCAGGTTCGGCAAAGCAGGACGTTGCGCACCATTGCTGACGCCCTAAGGTATGTCTCTAACGAAACTCCACATAGAGACCTCGATGTCCTTTATCTAAAGGACTGCATTGTGCAACAGGCGCAGTGGCGCTATAGCCTAGCGGAATCGCACAACAACCCTCTGTTGCGTGAGCCAGTCGACTACACAGTCGAGCAAGTTTTCAAGCTCAAAAGGCCTAGGCGCTCGCACTGTAATCAAAATTAATTCGTGAATTTAGAACAACCAAAATTGGAGCATTTTGACAAAAATCGAATATTTTTAGACCATATCATGCCTAAACGCTGCCTATCCTAAAAGATTCTCTTCTTCCCCTTTGCTCTCGTTCTTACTTCTCTCCTTCCTCCCCCTTTTCCCTTAAAA